TTTATTTAATTTTTAAATTTGTTTCCTTAGGTCTGTCATCTGACATGAAGCCTGTGGTAAGACATCTTTCTTTTTTAAATCTCTGCAGAGCCAGATCTTAACTCTGTAAAGTTAAGAGACTCTCCTCCTACTTCCCAGATCCAAGGAAACTCTAAGATTGTGAATTTTGTGACTGGTTTCAGTACAGTATGGTACATACTGAATTTTAAAAATTGAGATACTGAGAAGTCAGGAAATTGCTACATCTTCAAAGTTACTACAAATATCATTCCTCCTACTATTCCTCTGTTTAAAGATGAATATAGATTTTATGAGCTATAAGGACTCTCTCTTATTATACTAGAATTTTTTTTTTCTTACTGCCAGAGGGTGTGTGTGCTCACCAAAGAGAGACAGAGACAAAAAGGGAGAAGGCACCTCCTGATGGGTGTGGTCACGCCACAGTCTCTTTTCTTCCATCTTCATCCTGTCAGAATTTTCAGCACACACATCCAGTATGTTTTTCAAGCTACCGAGGACAGGATTTGAACTTGTCAGCCATGTGGGATCTAGCCCCCTTAACCACGTGGCTATGGAACTGGCCCTGATACTGGAGATGTAAGCTTTATCCAATGGCTTTAGATAATGTCTTGATTCTTTTTTTTTTTTTTTTTTTTTTTGGGGCAGAGGATATTTGTGCGGGAAAGAAGAGGAAGAACACACCTCTCAATGGTCATGCTGCAATCTCATTTCATCCATTTATTGATCCAGTCAGGATTTTGGACATACAACAGATGCATGCATGTGTTTCTAAAGCTTCTGGGATTTGAGCCCCATTTGGCCATGTGAAATCCAGTTTCCTTAGACACTAGTCCAGAGGGTTGGCCCAATGTTATTATTTATTTAGAGAGATTTTTACTATAGGGTGTATGGCTTGCTGGAGAGACAGAAAGACAGAAAGCGAGAAATCACCCCCCAGGGGGATTGCCACACCACAATCCCTTCTCTTCTCCTCTCAGGATTTTGGGCATGCATGCATACACACTTGGCATGAGTTTTAAGCCACCCCATCCAGGACATAAACCACAGTCGACTACATGGTAGTCCGGTGTCATAATTATTATGCCATCTGCTGGTCCCCAATGTTAATTCTTTTTTTTGTTTGTTTAAAGAATTATTTGGGGCCCAGCAGTTGGCATAATGGCTGTGTCGCTGGACTCCCACATAGTTGACCGTGGTTCAAGTCCTGGACCTGGTGGCTTAAGCTCACACCGGGTACATGTGCATGTGTGCCCAAGATCCTGAGAGGAGAATGGAGTAGAAGGAATTGCATCGTGGCTGTCCCCCCTGGGGGGAGATTTCTCGCTTTCTATCTCTCTGTCTCTCTCAGTCTTTCTGGCGAGCGCATGCGCCCTATAGCAAAAACCTCTAAAAAAAAAAAAAGAATTATTTAACTTTATTTATGTATTTTAACTTGACCAGAGAAGGACAGAGTGAGAGGGAAAGTGAGAAAGCAAGCCACCAGGTCCAGAACTCGAACCATGGTTGGCCATGTGGAAGTCTAGCACCCTTAACCACCATGCCACCTGCTGGTCCCTGGCAGGTGGCATGGTGGTTAATTATCACAAAAGAAGCTATGGAAGCAACTTATGAGTTCTATTTATAGATAATGCCTTTTTGTAATTTTAAACTTTTTTTAGAGATTTTTGCTATAAGCCGTGTACGTTCACTGAAGAGAGAAATGGACAGAGAGACAGAAAGCAAGAAATCACTCTCCCGTCCCCCAGGGGGAATCCCATGCCACAATTCCTTCTCCTTCATTCTCTTCTTGGGATTTTGGGCGCGCATGCGCACGCGCACACACACACACAGGTCTAGCATGAGGTTCAATCTGCCTCCAGATCTGACACTCGAACTGCGGTTGGCTGTGTGGTAGTCCAGTGATGGAACCACTATGTTTTCTGTTGGTTCTGCTTTTTTTAAATTTTAAAACATTTTTGCCAGAGGGTATATGTCCTCATTAGAATGAGAAAAAGTGAGAAAGCACTCACTGTGGGGAATGTTCATACCATAATCCCTTTTCCATTTCTTTCAGGATCGTGGGCACGCATGCACACATGCCCAGCATGGGTCTTTTAAAAAAATTTTTTTTAAGAATTATTTAGGACCAGCAGATGGTGTAATGGCTATGTCGCTGGACTCCCATGTAGTTGACCACAGTTCAAGTGCTGGACTGGGTGGCTTAAACTCATGCCAGGCACATGTGATTTCTCCATTCTCTTCATTCTTCACCCAGGATCCTGGGCATGCATGCACATGTGCCCAGTGTTATTTTCAATCCACTGCATCTGAAACTCAAACTGCAGTCTGTCACGTGGGAGTCAAGAAACCATTTATGCCATCAGTTGGTCCCCCCAGCCAGTCACCAATCCAGGACTTGTACTGCATAGTTGGCCATGTAGGAGCTAGCCAGTTTAACCACCACCCCACAGGCTGGCCTGATACTGCTGTTTTTTAAAACTACCTATTAAATGTAAAATCAGAGTAAAGAGTGGTAGTGTAAGAGTGGCTTTCTGGGCTATTGTTACCAGTCAGCATGTTAAGAAAATGGATACAAATGCTGTGGTGAAATACTTCTAGTTTTTTGAAATGCAGCTTTTGGGGTTACTGTTAAAGTTGAGGAGAGTTCAAAAAATTGATGGAAAATGGAATTAAAATATGAATTTAAAGGTGCTGGACTCCCACATGACCATTCATCGTTCAAGTCCCAGACATGGCAGCTTGCTTTCTTACTTTCCCCCTCTCTATCTCTCTCTCTCTGATCAAACTGGAAAATAATAAAGTTAAATAAAAATAATTATTTTAGGGGCCAACAGTTGGTGTAATGACTATGTCGCTAGACTCCCATGTAATTGACTGTGATTTGAGTCCTGGACCCAGTGGCTTAAACTCATGCCAGGCGCATGTGTGTGCATGCCCAAGCTCTTGAGAGAAGAGAGAACGGATTGCAGCATGGCCATCCCCCTATAGCAAAAACCTCTCAAAAAAAAATCTTTTAAATTAAAAAATAAAGGAACTTATCTAAAAAAGAAGATGGGGCAGGGGGAGCCCAGCATCTTGTAATATCCTGGCAGAAAGAGGGTCAAAAAAAAAAAAAAAGAATTTTTTTTGGCGCAAAAATTTTTGCAATCTATGCATTGTTTTTTCATAACATGCACTCCCCGTGAACTTTTTTTGAGAGATTTTTGCTATAGGGTGCATGTACTCTCCAGAGAGACAGAGAGATATCACTCCCGAGGGAGGATGGCCACACCACTATCCCTTCTCTAGTCACCTTTTGGGATTTTGGGCATGCACATGCATGCGGTTGGCATGAGTTTTAAGCCACTGGATCTGGGACTCAGACCACTGTCAACTACGTGAGAGTCCAGCGATGTAACCACTACACCATCTGCTGGTCCCCCCATGAACTTTTTAAAGACCCTGATCATTGAAAGTGAAGGTGAAATGTTATATTGTTGTTATTATTTTAGAGAGGGAAATTTTTGTTACAGGGTGTATGAGCTTGTTGGACAAACAGAGAGACAGAAAGTAAGAAATCATACCTCCCTGGGAGGGGGTCGCCACGCCACAATCCCTTCTCCCCCATTCTCCTCTCAGGATCTTGGGTATGTCCATGCGCCCAGTGTGAGTTTGAAGCTGCTGGGTTCAGGACAAGGACGCAGTTGGCCACGTGGGAGTCCAGTGATGTAACCATTACACCATCTGCTGGTCCAATGTTGTTATTATTAATAGCGAAAATATCCTAGACATCCTTATGATAACAAGCCTCACATACCAAGGCTCCTAAAAGAGCAGTGAAGAGAGTTGAGATGGGTAGCAGTGGTGGATTTGTCTTCTGAAGAAGGGAGCCCTGTACTGACTGTTCCTCTTTGGAAATAGAGTTAAGAACTACTTGCAGAAACTACGGATAGAAATGAATGACTTTGGACTATGAATGATAGACTTGTAGGTGATAATTTACACATTGTTTGCTTTTTTAAGCAGTGTTTGTCTTTGATCTTACAAGTCTTTAGGTTTTGTTTGTTTTTTTTTTTTTAAAGAATTATTTTATTTAACTTTATTTATTTATTTATTTATTTATTTTAATTTGACCAAAGAGAGAGAAAGTGAGAAAGCAAGCTGCCAGGTCCAGGACTTGAACTGCAGTCATCCATGTGGGAGTCCAGCGCCCTTAACCACCACACCACCTGCAGGCCCCATTTTTTTTTAAAGAATTATTTAGGGGGACCAGCAGTTAGCATAATGGCTATGTCCCTGGACTCCCATGTAGTCGACCGTGGTTCGAGTCCCAGACACAGCGGCTTAAACTCACACCGGCGCGTGTGCCCAAGATCCTGAGAGGAGAATGGAGGAGAAGGGATTGCTGCGTGGCCATCCCGCCTGGGGGGTGATTTCTCACTTTCTGTCTCTCTGTCTTTCTGGTGAGCGCACGTGCCCTATAGCAAAGAAAAAAAAAAAAACCTCTCCAAAAACGGGGAAAAAAAGAATTATTTAGAGACTAGCAGGTGGCGTGATGATTAAGGTGCTGGACACTCCCACATGGCTGACTGCAGTTGAGTCTTGGACCTGGTGGCTTGCTTTCTCATTTTCTCTCTCTCTCATCAAAATTAAAAAAGAAAATGAATGAATAAATGTAAATGATTATTTTTTAAAAATAATTATTTCATTTGACTTTATTTACTTATTTTAATTTGATCAGAGAGGGACAGAGTGAGAGAGAGAGGGAAAGTGAGAAACAAAGTACAAGCCACAGTTGGCCATGTGGGATTCCAGTGCCCTTAATCACCATGGTGCCTCCTGGCCCTCAAAAAAGGCCTTTTAATAATCAGTGGGATAGGGTATCTTTGATGTTATAGTCTTATTTGAACTGTAAGCTTTGGGCCATAGTTTCCTTTTTCTATTTTCTCTTTTGATTTTTTTTTTTAAACACATTATTTTTCCCCCCTTTGGTTTTGTAGGTTAACCTGGATAAGCTAAAGGAAAGAGCTCAGAGATTTGGTTTGAATGTCTCTTCAATCTCCAGAAAGGTAATGGAAGTCCTGTTTTTTGTTTGTTTGTTTGTTTGTTTGTTTGTTTTGCAACTTTAGAACAGCTCGGGGAGCTATATAGACTGGAAATGACCCTCCTGAGACTGTAACTAGCTACTCTGCACTTTATTTCACACAGTGCTCTGAATATCACCTCCTCTCACTGGCTATTGATTATCTTATGGGAATTGTTTTCACATGCTAATTTTTTTTCCCCACAAGTTCATAGCTTTACCTAGGCTACTAGGGCTTGGTCTTTATTTCTCTTGGTTTACATATTGAATGCAGTGATGTGAAAATTTGCTACATCTGTGTGTACTTCTGCAGTAGGAATAATGGAAATTAAATAACCAGGAGAAGATAGTTTTGTCTTTAGCTTAGAAATACGTAGAAACGAAAATTGGAGGTTCTGCGAAACAAAAAAAGAGGAAATTATTTTATTCTTTCTGTCTTTTTGCTAACACTATATATTAAGGATGGTTTTGTTGACTTCATGCTGTGTTCGGTGGTCAGTTCTTTAAAGGTGTAATTGCCTTGGGTGATATGCTTTGCACATTGTAGAAAATGATAGGATTCTATTGTTTGCTGGGAGCAGGTGGTCTTTTAATCTTTTTTTTTTTGAGAATGGGAACATGGTTTTTGGATTTTGTTGTTATTTTTTTTTTAATTTATTATGGAATGTGTGTGTGTGTATGTGTGTGAGAGAGAGAGAGATACACACCTTCCACAGGGTCTGTCATGCCCTGATTCCCTCCCTGTAGTCCTCCTGCCCATTAAATCTTGGGTACTTGCATGCGTGCCCGGTGTGATGCCATAGGTGAGAATACTTTCTGGTTAATGTGAAACAAAAATTGTGAGTTGAGAGGTAGGGAGAGTATGTGATTCATAAACCACATGAAACTTAATTGGGAAGAACTATTACAGATTATTTGTATTGTGCTAGATGACAAGGAAAAGGAAGCTTTATGTATCTGTTGCTCTGGTTCTCATCTGTCTTCTTTTGTATTTGAGGGTGAGACATCTGAGAACTCTAGCAGTAAATAACTTCACCCCATCTTCTAGGGATTTGTGTTTTTTTTTTTTTTTCTCTTTTTTTTTTGGAGAGATTTTCACTGTAGGGCGCGTGTGCTCGCCAGACAGACAGAGAGAGACATAGAGACAGAAAGCGAGAAATCACCCCCCAGGGGGGATGGTCACGCCGCAATCCCTTCTCCTCCATTCTCCTCTCGGGATCTTGGGCACGCACGCACATGCGCCCGGCGTGAGTTTTTTAAGCCACCGGGTCCAGGACACGAGCCGCGGTCAACTACGTGGGAATCCAGCGACATAGCCATTACGCTAACTGCTGGTTCCCCTAGGGATTTGTGTTTATAAAACTGAATGTTGTCTATTACTTCAGAGCTCACATGAGCACATGTTATAGAGGAATCTGTACATCACACTACACTGCTTATCTGAGTTATTTGTTTTTTTAAGTATGCTAAAGGGCACATGCACTCCTTGGATAGAGAGGTGGAGAGGGAAAATGAGAAATCATTCGGGGCGTGGGGGCATGGGGGTGGGAGAGAGATGGCCATGTTGCAGTCCATTCTTCTCTTGGGATTTTAGTCACACATGTACCTGTGTCCAGCGTGTTTTTCAAGCCATCAGGTCAGGATTTTGACCGCTTAGTTGGCCATGTTGGGATCCAGCTGCTTTAACCTTCATGTCACCTATTGGCCCACACCTGAATTATTTTTATAGTATTACTTTACAATATCAGACCTTTTTCTTTTCCTAGAATCTTTCTCCATATTTGCCTTGTTTTCATTTTTAGTCCATGAGAGGCTGCTGTAAAATTTAGAGATACATTTATTAACATTGTGACCTTGAGTGAATCACTAAACTTCTTTGATCCTCATCTATAAAGCTTAGAGTGATACTCTGGTTGTGAAAAATAAATAACTGTGGGACAGCAGATGGCGTAATGGTTATATTGCTAGACTCCCATGTAGTTGACCACAGTTCGAGTCCCGGATCCAGTGACTTAAAACTCACGCCTGGCACATCTGCATGTTTGCCCAGTATCCCAAAAGGAGAATAGAGGAGAAGGGGTGAAGGGATTGCAGCGTGACCATCCCCACTCGGGAGTGGTTTCTCACTTTCTATCTTTCTCTGTCTCTTTGATGAATGTACATGCCCTATAGCAAAAATCTCTCTTTAAAAAAAAAAAAAAAAAAGGACCAGCAGGTGGCGTGGTCATTAAGGTGCTGGACACTCCCACATGGCCAACCACGGTTCCAGTCCCGGACCTGGTGGCTTCCTTTAAACCTTTCTCTCTCTCTGTGTGTGTGTCTCTCTGGTCAAATTAAAAAAAAAAAAAAAGAATGAATAAAATTAAATAAATAATTTTTAAAAAAAGAGAAAAAGAATGGTATATTCGAAATTTCCTAACTTCAGTCCTCAATAAATGTTAGTTAGCTTCCTTTGGTAAACAGGCTTTGTGACCTTAATTATGTTGATTACCTTTTATTTAAAGAATTACTTATTTTATTATCACTCTTCTTCAGTCTGACCAGAGAGAGAAAGGGAGAGTGGGAAAGCAAACTATCTGGTTCAGTACTCAAACCACAGTTGGCCGTGTGGGAGTCCAACACCACCACTCCACCTGGTGGCGGTGAGTCAGTTAACTTTTGTGTTATAGTAGATCATTGGCAAGATTTCATTCCCTTTTTTACTTTTTTTCCCCCTTAGTTTTGTCAGAGGGTTCATGTGCTCACTGGAGATACAAGACAGAGTGAGGGAGGGAGAGTGGGAAAGCACCCCCTCGTCTCATAAGGAATGGTCATGTCACCATCCCTTCTCTATTTCCTCTTCCTTTTGGAATTTTCGGTGTGTATATATACACGCCCAGCATGTTTCTCAAGCTGCCAGGTCTGGGACTTGACCATGGGGTTTAACTGCCTAAGCCCACCACGCCATGGGCTGGCCCCTCGTTCTCCTTTTTTAATCACTGAAGGGTTGTTATTTGATCACTTTAACTGTCCAAATTCTATGAACTCTCTCCTTTAATAGCATTCATTATGTATATGTATAGACTATATGTGTGTGTGTGCATGCATACATACATGCTAGAGTAGTGCTTCTCATATTATCTGTGGCAAAATACTAGTTTTAAAATTATTCTGATTTATTATAGAGTGATCCTTTTATAGAATATAATTTAAATAACACGCAATGTTTAACCACTCTGGAAGTTTCTAAACACCTTCATTTTCTAGACTTAATGAACTGTTTACAAATTATTTTGGAGACCAGCACTAGTAAGCAGACCACATTTTGAGTAGCACTTTATTAGGATATATATGATTTCTTCCAGATACCGCTTTACTTGGAGATTTGTGACTTTGCGATGTCTTCTGTCAGAATAGATATATTGGGAACCAGCAGTTAGCGTAATGGCTATGTCGCTGGACTCCCACGTAGTCGACCGCGGTTCGTGTCCTGGACCCGGTGGCTTAAAACTCACGCCGGGCACGTGTGCGTGCGTGCCCAAGATCCTGAGAGGATAATGGAGGAGAAGGGACTGCAGCGTGACCATCCCCTCTGGGGGATGATTTCTTGCTTTCTGTCTCTATGTCTCTGTCTGGCGAGCGCACACGCTCTATAGGGTAAAAAACCTCTCCAAAAAAAAACCCCAAAAAGAATAGGTATATTTTATATTGATAATCTTGATTTTCAGAACCATCCTAATTTTGGCAGTTCTGATTTGCTCTATAAACCATTACAATGTCCCTGAAATGCTGCTCTTTTGCTGTGTAGACCAACACTACCTAATAGAATTCATTTTTTCCCCACAAGGGTGGTTGTTCTTGCCAAGAGAGACAGGGATGTGAGAATGAGGGAGAGAGGCAGTAGAAAAGCCCCCCCCCCTCCCATGAAGGATGGTCTCATTGTAATCCCTTCTCTTCCATCTCTCCCTTTTTTTTAAAAAAAAAAAAAAAAGATTTTTACTATAGGGCACATATCCTCATTAGAGAGACAGAGAGAAAGTGAGAAATTACTCCTCAGGGGATAGTTATGCCCCAATCCCTCTCCTCCATTCTCCTCTGGGAGTATGGGCATGCATGCACATGTGCCTGGTGTGAGTTCCAAGCTGCCAGGTCTGAGACTTGAACTGCAGTCGGCCATTTGACAGTCAAGTGCCTTAACCACCGTGCCACCTGCTGTCCCCACCTCTCCTTTCTTTCAGGACTTTCAGTGCACATATACCTGTATCCAGCATGATTTTTTGTTGTTGTTGTTGTGTTTTTGGAGAGATTTTTGCTATAGGGCGCGTACGCTTGCCAGACAGAGAGAGACATAGAGACAGAAAGCGAGAAATCACCCCCCAGAGGGGATGGTCATGCCGCAGTCCCTTCTCCTCCATTCTCCTCTCAGGATCTTGGGCACGCACGCACACGCGCCCGGCATGAGTTTTAAGCCACTGGGTCTGGGATGCGAACAGTGGTCAGCTACATGGGAGTCCAGTGACATAGCCATTACAGTAACTGCTGGTTCCTATCTAGCATGATTTTTAAGCTGCCAAATTCAGGACTGCTCAGTTGGCCTTGTGGGATCTTGCTGCTTAAACAACCAGGCCACAGGCTGGCCCTAGAATTTGCTTTAAACAATTACAGTGTGTAATAGCTACTGTATTGGTTAGCCTGAGTCTGGCTTACAGCTCCCATGTAGCTTTCACACTTTGGAGTGGCATAGAAATCCTTTATGAGATCACATATTTGGACGGCTGTAGCTGAGAATGTTTTTAATACTTATAGAAAATAAAAGCAGTTTCAGCATGAATCTTTCAAAAGAGAGACGTTACAAGAAAGGGAATAAGAAATAGGAAAAGAAAAGATTCTTTTTTCAAGTAACTCTTTACAACTTAGTATTCTAGACCCAGATTCTAAAATTGCAACTGGCTACAGTCTCTGGTGTTGTCCAGTTCACTGTGCTTAATTGTTCTTTCTCACTGGAAA